CAAAGATATCTCGTCTTCGATGGACACACTTCTGTGTCAGGTCGGCGTCTGCTGTCAATTACAACCCGAATGGTTGACCACTTTTAAGGAGTTTAAAGTGAGAAAACATACAACAAATAGATATCTAATTAACAGAAAAACATTTGAATTTTAGATAAGATTCCAATTGATTCACGGAAATCATAGACTATCGACCGCTACCACCAAAACAGTCAGTCCTTCGAAATCGTTTTTCCATCGCCTGTCGTTTGAAGAGTGGATACCATTTGATTGGCCCATATTTAGTCTTCCACGAGAAGTAAAACTTGAATTGACTTTAATTGGTATCAAGAATACTGTCAACCAATCTGATGGCAACCCCTCTCCACCAGCAAACATGTCGACCAATTCATCTGGAAGTCTAGAACGTAAGCAAATCTATTTTAATATATTTTTCATTAAATTGTCTTATATTTTGTTTGTATAGCAACTCAAGAGTTAGGCGTCGGTTCCATGTATTTGTTTGATTTTAATCAGATTTTAGCCGACGGACAGTATTTGATTCCTCTTTGGATTAATTCGTCTGAATTTAGTATAGAAAGCGATGCAAAACTTATAAACTCGTTGTGTTTCGAAAGAGGCAATCCTTTAGTTCACATTAGTTTTCCCGAAACTGATTTCGAAATCAAGTTTCCGCCCACTATTTGGGACCAAACCAACGATTCTGCCGTTAAATTGCAACGAAATATCAATTCTTTGGATTCTGCGACTCAAACAGAATTATTTCAATTATTAAATCGCAATCCATTGGAACCGATGTCTTGTGGAGATCGGGAACAGTTATGGGACCGAAGATACTATCTGTACGACTGCGCTGAGGCTCTTCCTAAAGTTTTGTTGGCCTCTCACACGTGGGAATCGACCGCATTGTCCGACATCTACGCAATGGTTCAGCACTGGTCTCCGCTTTCACCCATCGATTCAATGCAGTTATTGTTGCCTTCATTTCCGGACATTAATATTAGACAAATGACTGTTAAATGGCTTAAAAAGCTATCTTCTGATGAAGTCTGCGATTTTATGCCACAATTAGTTCAAGCGTTGCGGTAATGAAGTATTTATTTGAATTGTTTATCATTTGTCTAAAGAGTCTTTGTCTACAGATTTGACGCATATCTTGACTCACCATTGATTTGGTTTCTTCTCGAAAGTTGTTTATCTTCTGTTCGAGTTTGTCATCACTTGTATTGGATTCTTAAGTGCAATATTAATGACCAAACGTTTACATATCGATCGCGAATATATCTGAACTCTCTTCTGGCGATTGTCGGCGAATCGATGAATCTTATGATTGATCGACAAGAAAATCTTTGCCAATCGCTGTCTTCAATCTGCGATCACATCAAATCGGCCAAAGAGTCACAAAGACTTAATACTCTTTTACGCGAATTGGAAACAGTCAACGATTATCTCGTCTGTCATTTCGACCATTTTCTCTAAATTCAATTAATTTATAGTTTATTTTATTAAATTAGATTCAAAACCCAACAGTCCTTCCATTATCTCCTTCTATGGGCGTCTGTGGATTCGATGTGAAGCTCTGTTCTTACTTTCCATCCAATTCTCTTCCCCTCAAACTTATATTTAAAAATCCGGACACAAAGACATCGTCATCATTGGAAGCGCTGTTTAAATGTGGCGACGATTTAAGACAAGACATGCTTTCAATGCAAATGATCCAAATTATGGACAAAGTTTGGCTCAAAGAAGGTCTTGATTTACGAATGATTACATTCTTATGCACTGCAACCGACTTTCGGAAAGGAATGATAGAAATGGTTCCAAACAGCGAAACATTACGCAAAATCCAATTAGAGCACGGATTGACCGGTTCTTTCAAAGACCGGCCAATTGCCGAATGGCTTCAAAAACACAACACCTCTGAACTCGAATACCACCACTCAGTCGAGAACTTTACGTATTCGTGTGCCGGCTATTCGGTGGCCACATATCTATTAGGCATTTGCGATCGACATAACGATAATATAATGCTCACCACTTGCGGGCATCTCTTTCACATTGATTTCGGCAAATTCTTGGGCGACTCACAGATGATGGCCGGTATGTATTGGACATTATATTTCATATTACTTATTGATTTTTGGTAGGTTTTAAAAGAGATCGCGTGGCGTTTGTTTTGACACAAGACATGGCGTATGTCATCAATGGTGGCGATAAGCCCTCAAAACAGTTTCAATTCTTTGTGGATCTTTGCTGTCAAGCGTTTAATGTTCTTCGAAAGAATGCAAACTTTTTGTTGTCTTTGTTTTCACTGATGATGTATTCGCGTATTTCTGGTCTCAACGCCGAAGCCGTGAAATACATCCACAGAGCGCTTATGCCCGGACTGTCAGAATCGGAAGCCATGTCTCAATTCACACGAATGATTGAGGACTCATTGCGCTCTCGATTCACCAAATTTAACTTTTTTATTCACAATTTGGCACAATTGAGGTTCAATTCATAAACAAATTTAATTATTACTCAATGTGTTTAAACAATTACATCTGTCTGTACTTTGGCCGCAGATTCACTGGTGACCACAACGACCAGATGTTACTCTCATTTATACCCAAAAAGTTTACCAAAGAATCGGATGGACTGATCACTGGTTTGGAAGCGATGGACTGCTACAAGAAGTACGAGCCCGAGAAAGTGTATTACTATGTGCTGCGAGTGGATCGTCAGTTCCAACCCGACCCGAGTTATATTCACAGAACTTATCGCGAATTTATTGAATTTAACGAAAAACTCAACAATTTCTATCCGTTGGCGAAGTTTCACGTATTGCCGCGTTCTTCGAACCTGATTCGTGGCAATACTCGCGATGCGGCCCTTCAGAGGATGCATGACATCAGCCTTTTTCTTAAAGGACTCATGCTTTTGGCGCACGAGATATCGCACGCAGACATTGTCTACACGTTCTTTCATCCTTTACTCAGAGACCAGGAGGGCGTCAATGAGACCACCATTAGTATTGCTTCGCCGCCAGGTTTGCCATCTCTTCTTTTATACGACGATATGTATTGTTAATTGATTTCTGATCGATAGGTAACTCAATGTCCAACAGTTCCCAAGCGATGTCCCGACGCGACACACTCTATGGACCCGCAATCGCAGGTCAGGTGAAGCTGTCGATAGTCTATAAGAACATGTCATTAGTGATAATGATAATGCACGCCAAGAATCTGGTGTCGAGTCGGTCGACTGCTCCCGATTCTTATGTCAAGACATATCTAAATCCCGATCCAAATAAATTGACGAAACGTAAGACACGAGTACTCAATAAGACATGTCACCCAACTTTCATGGAAATGATTCTATACCACGGAATACCACTCGAGAAATTGCAACAAAAAACTCTTCAGGTATTTGTTGTGACGACAGTGTTATCGAGAATTGACTCAAATTGATTCAAACAATAGGTCTCTGTTTGGGACAAAACGGTGACCGAGAATATACTGATTGGCGGAACGCATATAATGTTAAGTCAATTGGATCTGAAGAACGAGACGTGCGATTGGTTTGCACTTCAAGGGAATTAGACTTTTAGTCAAATTATCGTTTGTTTGCAGTTAACGTAAAAAGTTTTATATTTTTGAAAAATACTTATTTATTTACTTATAGTACTGTATGTTATGATATATTATTATGACAATTATGTAAACATTAACGCAATGTCTTATTAACTGTTTGTGAGCTAATCGTGCCTTTGATTGAAAAGCAGAGATAATTTATTTATGAAGATTGTGTAAAAATTTATATTTTATCCAGTATATTAATACTATTTATATATAAATATAAAGAGTTATATAATTATTATATTTTATCAAATCTTTCCAAAGTATTGTCTATTTTTACCAAAACTTTATAATAAATTTGATTTGAGTTTTACTTAATTTTTTATTTTCATTAAAAGTCATGTTAAATAAATCATTGAATAATTAAATGAAAACGATTAACAATTTTAAAATAATTTTATTGAAAATTGAATAAATGTCAAAAACAATTACATTTGAAACATTGGGACCTATTCTTCGAGAGTTGTTTTTCCAATATTTTTTAGAATACTTTAAAAATGCCATAAAATTGAAATTCAAAAAACCTGGAGTTTTGTTCAAAACTTAATAAACAATTTCTATAACTTATTAAATATATTTACAATAAATTGTTATTAACTATTGAAGAAAGGATTGTTTTCCTGATATGTATTCAACACTCAATTCCGACGCTATCTTTATATTACTATTTGTTTACAGAGTTTTGAATATTTATTGAAAAAATATTGGACACAAATTGGGTCTCAATTCTCGAAGAATTAGCTCAAAGTGTTGATCAAAACAAATACTTCAGAGATTCTATACAATAAGAGACAATGACATGAATAATATTCGTTAGAATTAAAAAACATTCAGTAATTAATAATAATCTTATAATTAATATATAAATATTATGTATAAAACAAGTGAAAACCTCATAAAACCACTAAAAGATTTGTTTTAATGGAATGTTATTATAATATAATATATTATTGAATAATAGAAAATTACAAAAAAAATAATAATAATTACAAAGAGATGTGAAAAGTTTTGCATCAAAACAATGAAAATCCAATTTTCTGTATAAATAAGTTTCAAATCTTACAGTTTTGTCTCATTTTTATTTAATTTTTGAAAAATTCATTTTCTTTTAAAATTAATTTACATTCAATCGAAAAGTTGTTTTATATTCAAAACTGAAGATCTTTTGAAACACGTAATGAATATTATTTTACATTTGTATCATAAATCAGTTTTTAGACAATTTTTGAAATTATTTATATATATGTATAATAATGAGTGAGAAATCGGAACTTTATGTAAAATTTAAAATTTGCCGACAAATTTGAAAGACTAAAAGTTTATATAAATTATTGATTTTTCTAGAAAAACAGGTAAAGAGAAGACTAAATGTGTTTCTATTTAGTGCACAAAACCTTTGTTTGAAAAATGAATTAAATTAAGTAAAAACATGAGTAGTAGTCAAAGGGAAGGGAATGTTTACAATTGGCAGTAAATTTGTTGGTTGTGTTTTGTCATTGAATAACTGATACAATTGTCTTCAATTGCAATACAATTACAAATACAATCATTTTGTTGTGAACACAGAAAAACAAAACGCATATCAATTAAAACTATAAATATATTTCTTCAATAGAAGAGAGAAAAACGTGTTTATTGTGACCAAAGTTTTAATAATAAATTATTTATTTTCGTCTAAACGTTTGACTTAATTGTAAAATAAATTAAAGTAAACCGAAATTAGATGTCGAATGAAGTGATTCTTTCGCCACTTTTGAAACACAATTAATGATTATTTAAAACAATTTGTTTGTCAAATGAAATCCGACGAAACAAATGTCCGAACATTGAAAGTGATTGATTGGGAAAACCCTAAACCTATTTCGTGAGTCTTATATATAAAAACATTTTATATAAATCAGATAAAAATATTAACAAAACAAAATTAATGCACATTTAAGTCAATTCATATATAAATGTATAAATTTGGATGAATAGAGAGTCGTTGACAGAGAATATGACATATTTTTATTAACGTTTCAATAATAATAAAAATCTCAAAAATTTAAATATATTCGTATGAATGAACTGATTCTCTAAAAATGAATTCATTTAATAATTATTTCGTCAAAAATTGTGGACTTTTTTCTTCGACTCAAATGAAGAAAAGAGTCGAAAAGTTCAGTGAAAAATTGGAGTCAAATTCAAATGATATATCAATTGATATAATAATAATAATATATATATTTATATATAAAGAGTTGTCGTGTTTATTATATAATAAATTTCTTTTCACCGTAAAAAACACTATAAATTAAGTAATTATTTGTTTAAAATGTTTGAAATCAAAAACATTTCATCAAATTTTCACATATTTTTCAAATTAAATATAAATAAATAAATAATTCCGAAATCCGTAAAACAAACCATTCGTTCCTTTGTTTACGAGAAATGAAGACAAATGACGAGTAAAGACAAGAATTCTATCAATCGATCGACTTTTGAGTTAAAAATTTTCTTTTATATTAAATATTTTCTCTAATAATTTGATGTTTTCTTTAAAACCATTCATTTCTTCTAAATAACCAATTCTTGAGATTAATATAATTGTAATCATTTCAGTAACCAATTCAACAAAAACTTAAATAATTTCTTTCGTTCAATATTTGCTTAAATATTTGTTCCCAAAACTTGACTGAAAAATAAGGCATCAAATGAATACAAAATCAAAATATATAACACCAATAAACTAACCACAAGTAACTCGACTAATGGTATCAGTTATTAGACAACGAGTTCTTCATCGCATTTCGGTATATCGAAGATCTCTGCGAAGAGCGGTGGAAGTTTGAGTCGAGTCCAGTTCGCGCGGAACCACTGCAAGTGATGCGCGTGTTTCAGACCCAGTGATCGCAATTCAGGCAATTTCATCATCAATTGCGCCAAAGTGTGCGGTTCTGTCGGATGATTGCGTCCCATTTGCAACTTCAACGCCTCCATCAACTTCTCTTGACTGTGATCTATGGCTTTCGTGTCATAAATACTCGATCGCTCTGTAAAGACAACCAATGGTTCATTAATTTTCAATCTTTTAGCATTTCATTGTGTTTTCTAAATGTAACAAAACGTCAAAAAATTATTTTTAAAAATACATTTTATGCCAAATAAAGCTATCGATTATTTGCGAAATTCTCACACTTAATGGTATTAATGCTTTACTTATAAGTGAAACAACTCTTAAGTGCCCGAAACTCATGTGTAACTATTGGTCCATAAATGAAGTGATAATGCATTAAATGATTTCTTCTTTTTCAATAATATATTGGTTTAATGACACAAATAAATGATTGCATTGATATTCATATGAAAGTGCGCTCAATGACAGAGAATGTTATCGATTTATGAGAATATACTATCCGTTTGATCAAAAGGTTATGACTTTTAGTATTTTATTTAATAGGAAATTAATTTCAATGTTATATAAAGTATTGCCTTCTTTACAACTCTTCGAAACAAATCTGAACAAAACCTCAATTGTTTTCAATTGATAACACGTTTTAACGCTCACTGAATATACGGTATATTTTGTACAAAAATAAACATAAAATTAACTCAAACTTGAAAATCAAGTTTTATTTATGAATACATGAAAGTAATTAAAGAATCGGATTGTATAGCAGAGAGAGAGAGAGAGAGAGAGAGAGAGAGAGAGGACAAAATTAATGCAAAGCCGAGTTCTAAGATCTCTTGCAGTAAAAATGTTTGAAAACATTTGAATGACTTTTTTGTTTCTTAAAATAAGTATTTTATACATTAAATACTTATAAATGAAATCAAAATACTTTTAATTTAAGTGTTGAAAAATGTTGGCGTAAAGTATTCACAAAAATCTATTTCACAATAAAATCAAAATTACGAAAAATATTTAAAAGCCATAACCAAATAAAGACACCAAAAGCTATAAACTCACTAAACATTAGGGAATCGCATAATTGTTAGACAAAAGTGAAGGTTAATGTTAAACATGAGAAACATCTTTATTCAAAAACCCATTTATCTCTTTATTTATTAGTCTTTATTTAACAATTTTCACTCTTTTCTAAACCAATAAAATATTAGATAACTCTTCAACTCTTTATGACAACAAACTCATCATATTTTAGAGAAAATTCTTTCATTTAATCATATTTTGCAATCATTTCAGATAATAGAGAGATAATGTAAATCTGATTGTTGGGCACAACAAACCATTGCTTTCTTTGATAGTGACATGACTTTTAAACCACAAATACATTACTCTAATAATTGATTCATAAAATGTTAAAACAAAAACGCAAATAATATTCACAAGAAATTTAAATAAATATCTCATTATTATTGACGTCAATATGTGATCGACTTTAAAGTATATAAACTAAGGAAACATAAATCAGAAAGAATTGAATATTCAATAAGCAATTCAAACGATATTCAAACAAAAGATTTGCAAAGCAATGCTATGAACGCTAAAGTCATTTAATAAGCAATAAAATTATAATGATTTGAAGGCATAAATACCTGATTGAAGCAAAACAACGCCAGCGAAGAGACCGATTTCAGTGTCGTTGAGTTGAAGATTGTTTAATAAAACCATAAAATTGAAGACATTGGCCACGAATTCATGCTATGATTAAATGAACACCAATTGTATTCAAATGCGAAAACCATTCAAAAAATAGTAATGTATTGAAAGGAACGGCACAACAGATATTAAAACAAATAAAAGTCACGAACAAAACCAATATTAAAGAAAAACATTCATATTTATAAAACATTTAATATTTCTTACGTCAAACATGAGCTCCATTTGCTGTCTCGTGATATACGACCCGTCGGCGAATGTGAGCGTATTGTCCACAGTGTTGATCATTCTGGAGATGTGGACCAACCAGATCTCAAAGAATCCCAACTTAATGAGTATCAACTGATCGTCTTGTGATAAGTCGATGAAACCGGGAACGCGTTTTGCAAATTCAACCACTCTTTGTATAGAAGGGGTCACCAGTACTGCAAAGTGTTGCCACATCACGATCTTCTTCTGCTCCAGAGAGTCGGCCGCAGAGCCGGAGTTAGACGTCGGCGAGTCGTCGCCCGCACTACCCGTTTGGTATTCATCCAGACTCTAAACATATAAACAATAGGCTTTAGTAATGCACCGACTGATAGCTGTCTCACAAAAATGGCTGGTTTTCTGATGAGTCCTCTGGTCTTCTCCTCAGTGTAGGCACAGTTGGCGTGATGTGCCTGAGATATGGTCAGTATTATGTCATACATCGCCAACTGCTTGTTCTCCACGTCGCGCGACGACTGGTCCGCTTCTGATTGAGTCACTCGCGACTCCTCTCCCCTCTCGCGAGACCTTTTAGGGACGCGTCCGTATCTAACAGCTATCGGATTACATCACATTCACATTAAATGCTATTTAATTGCCCAACAAATTGTATATATTTAGGGTTTTGTGCCAATAATGACACCAATCCTACGGAGGAATACCTTTTCCCCTAATGCTCAACACATAAGAACTCGATATCTTATCTCTTAATACAAATCAATGTTTAGAATAACTCTTAAAATAACACATTTATAGACGAAGACTGTCTTTGACTGTTGAGATGTGTTAGGCGTCTGACTCAAGTTTAAGGTCTTCTAACTTCTCGTATAAATAACTTTCTCTTCAAAGAAAAAAACTTTCAGTTTTTGTTTTTACAAAATCAGTGAATAATTAGTCTATAATTCAGCAAAAATAGTCAATAGTTTGACACAAAAGCTGTTAATTTGTTTAAAAAACCTAAAGATATGAGTAAAATGTTTCGTGTTTTCAAACATCGCTTACTGTTTGATATAAACTATTGCCGAGAAATAAAGTGTGTCTAAAATTAACGCAAAACTAATGCTCGCAAAAAATGCAATTTAAAAAAGACTACAAAACAAGTGCCAAAAAAGATGTTAACACTAGAGATATATATTTAAAAAAAAGTCATCCGTTGGTGACATTGGCTTTGGACTCAATCCAGACCTTCATTACTGAATCCATTCATTATATAATTAATTCTTTATTTACCACTAAATTAAGACACAAAACAAAAGATAATTTTGTTTTCAAAATGCAATACAAAAACACATTATTGTTTGATATTTGAAAATAAATCAATCATTTTTGAGTGAAATGTTTGCCCGAAAACTACTTCATAAGACATATAGTTATGTGAGGTATAGAGAAGTGGTGTATGTATTGAGTGTATTGAGTGATACATACAATCCCTGGACATCCCGACGGCCAGACATTTCTTGAAGCGACAGTATTGGCAACGATTACGGTTCAAACGGATGACAAGACATTTGCCATCGCGAAGACATCGGTATTCAATCTGCTTCTGAATCGAGCGCCGGAAGAATCCCTGAAGAAGTCACAGACAATAAGCCATTGCTTTCTTATATTCATTCATAACTAAACATTATTTCATTTATTAATTATTAATTTTATAAAATATCACTTTTGAAACACAAATACATTTATAAATCTCTGAAAACAATAATAAATAATAACAAAAACACAACAAATGGTAATAAATAGTGAATTGGAGTGAAAGGTGTGATTAGTTTAGCGACAGATCATTGTCTTAATGGCAATCAATCAATACTTTTAATGATTCATTAATAATGAAATCACAAAATAATTGTATTTCAAAACTAATCGCTAATTGTTTGCAAACAGAGAGACAAAGAGTGTGTGAGAGTGAGAGAGAGTGACAGAGAGTGTGTCTGACTCTCAGCCACGCATACACTGTATTGAGACGCCGATACACACCAGATGTCACTCATAGATGCGTTCAATCATATCTGTGATCACAGATTGAATGAATGACATTGATCATTTTTTACATAATTGACCAAGCTTTATTCTAATCCATAAATTGTGTGTTTTTTACATCAATTAATTATTAATATTTTGATTAAACTTTTTTTGTGTTTCCATAGAAAAATAAATGGTTATAATTATAAGAAATGTGAGCTAAAAGTGTCAATTACTTTAAACCTTAATTATAAATTAAAGTTTGTACACTTTTACAGTTAAAGTTTTACTGAATGCAGTATTTTAAACATTCAGATACGTGTAGAGATACTGAACTGTATGTTTAATATCTCAATTAACTATGGTCATAATTTATTAGCAATTAAGCTCAATATTTCTATAATACTTTATGTGATACTAAGGAGGGTTGGGTTGTATTACTTCAATATACAGTATATTATATTTCATGTAAATTATTTCAAACTAATTAAATAGTTATGGATTTATGTAATTATTCTTGCATTAAATGAATATAGTTTTACGAGAAATCAATGTATAATATGTTGTTATTCTTTGGTTAACAGTTAATATTGAGGACAATTTGTAGATAAAAAATAGATCAAAGTGTAAGACATAAATCTATGACATTT